GTTTGAGTTTGAAAATAGCAAGTTTGAGTTTGGTTTGAGTTTGAAAATTTGCAAAATTTAATGTTTGAGTTTGGGTTGATTTCAAATCAAACTCAAACTCAAACTTATCAAATCAAACCTCGGAACCCTAGTGCTCTATGCACTTTGTGCCCCTATCATAAAATCATTAATATCTCTAAGATAACTCCTGTTTTGCAACTAAGCAAAAATGTTCCTTTCAAAATTTTACACTACTCTAAACCTAAATTCTAACTTTAATCTAACTCTATCTAACTCTAACTTAACTCTAACCTGACCTAACCTAACCCTAACCTAAAATCATAAAATCACTAATAACTCAAAATTTTACTAAAATAACCTCTGCTATATAATTAAGCAAAAATATTTTTCTCACAATTTTACACACTTTTGCTAATTTTAATCTAATTTTAATTTTTATTATAGGCTAAATTTTTGCTAGAGGGAACAAAGTATATGGGGCACTTTCTAGATTCCCAAAAAATTATTTATTGAAAATAATAAACTATATTTATGTAAATATATTTTTTTAAAGCAATTTTTTTATAAATTAAAATTTATATAAATATTACTATACTTATTTAGTTAAAACTATATATATAATATTTTTCTATTTTTTTTTGTATTTTTTTTAAAAAAAATTTATCAGTCTTGCCTCTACTTTATTAGGCTTTATAATATTATACTGTAAAATATTAAAATTTTCAAAGAGTATAAACCTTAACACTATCTAAATTACAATTATTAGCTCACCCGGCCCTTGTGACCAGAGTCCAAATTACCCATGTGTGACCTGCTATAGGCAGGATTCTTCTCCAAAATATTCTCTTTTCACTTGAAAAGAATAGATTTTTACTGGAAAGTTTCTACTGGCTCATCAAGACTACTTATCCTTCCTTCTAAACTTTTTTCATCTAGATCTAAACAAAATAGTTTATCTTTTTCTTTTCTGTAAGAGAAAAAAATATATGCCACATCTATGAAAAAAAACAAAACTATTTAGAAAAAGAAAGAGAAAAACAAAAAAAAAGAAAAAAACATTTAACTAAAAAAAAAAGTGTCCTAAATATAGTTCTATCATAATAGAACAAAGATGAAAAGAGCAGAAAAAAAGACATAGAAGTCCTAATGAACTACTTTAAAAAAAAAACAAACAAACGAAACAAAAAGAAAAAATACATTATTATAATTTGTGCTAGGTATAAAGGTAAAAATTATATACTAATTGCAACTAATTAATATATCTCAGCCATAAAGCTTCACTTTAACATTAGGACTTGTTTCAAACATATCACCAGGGTTGAGTATCTCCTAAACAGGATTATCAATCTCATCCCTATACCATAGCACTGTAATGATAAACAAAACAAACATGTAGTTGTGTTTTACTAAGTTTATCTGAATTAGATAAGTGTAAACAATACAGATTTTTTGGAGGGGGTAAGCTAAAATGCCCACTTTTTGTCAAAATTTTTGGTGAGGTTGGCAAGATGTGAGAGAAAAAAAAAACACTTGAAACCACTAAAAGAGTGTAAGTTTTTTTTTACTAGAATCAACTATCCATCTGAGCCTGCATAGTACTAAGTCTTTTTGGTAAGTAATAAACTCTAAACTTGTCAGCAAGTAGCATATGAGAACTACTTCTAAATGACAAGTGTCATGTCTGCAGTCAGTGAGTGATAAACTCTGAGGCTGTTAGCAGAGAACTACCTCTAAATAACAGCTGCTAACTTACAGTCTCTTTTCCCATATCTTATATGAAAATCATTGACTTTACTCTAGTGTACTGTTTTTTGCTAGTAAAAAGTTTTTTAGAAATTGTGGTCCAAATGATTGTTAGAAAGAGTTAAGTACTATTTTTTTTTGTATTAAATAAATTTAAAATTTTATTTGTTAGAAAATAGTTATAAAAAATGATTGTTAAAAAATTAGTATTTGGAATTTATAAAATTTGTAAAAATATTAATTAGACAAAATTAAAAGAAATTTTTAAATAATTTTTTTTAATTTTAATATTTCAATTTAAAAACAAATTATATATTGATAAAATATATAATTAGGTTTAATTATATCTAATTTTTTAGCAAAATTGATTAAGTTTTTAATTTTTATATATAAAAAACCTTCAATTATTTTAAACCAAATTTTAAAAATTAATTTTTTAAAAACTATTTTGATTAAAATTAATTCAATTTTTTTTATAAATAGATTATAACTATAATAAAAATAATATATATAATTTTTAAAACTATTGATTTAATAATGATTGAAATAATCATCTTACGGCAAAACTTTTGATTCAACCCACGTATTTTTAGCAAATTGTCACCCTGTGTGATGTAGAGTAGAGGAAATAACCGTACCATAATCCTAAATATGTATTTAAAAAGAATATTTGAGCTTTTATGCTATTGCACAAATGTATTTTTATGATTTTTCCTTTTATAGTATAATTGGGCATTCTAAATTAGTGATTACACAAAGCCAGTTCTTTCACATGGATCGCTCAATTCGTTCGTTACACTATCAGTTGGGTTAACTGTGTTTAATATATGAGTGACATAAGAAAAAATCAGTGATTCACACTCTTACGCATTCAGATAATGAAATCAAACTATTGGCCACTCACTGAATACATAAGATTATGAATCATAGGTTCTCTTCGCATCACTCACATACAAAGATTATTTAAATGTTACAAAAAGTGATCTATGATTTGCTTGATTATAGACATATATCAGTATATTCTTTATTGCCATAAATTTAGTTATGTGCAGTATAGAAGTTACGTTATTGAAAATGATAATCCACATATATTTAGTTAGCATTTACTATGCGAAAGTATAATCGAATAGTCGTTGTATTTCATCTAATGTATATAAACCACTTTTACTGTAAATTCACTTCCTTTATCAGCCCAAAACTCATAAAAATTCCATCTTGTAAAATTACTTTCTCTGATACACAATACATGATTGTTTAGATTTTTACAATCTCAAGCCATGCGTTTATAATAATTGTCATTATTTATGTATAAGAACGAACTCTTCTCTTAATCAATCAATCGTGTGGATTACGATAGTAATAACAAGATCTCTCATGTAATAGTTTATCTGCACACACTTTTAATTATAAACGCCTTCGAAGTCAACAATTCATTATGCTACTTTTCTAATTGAAAAAATTTTTAACTACGTACAATGCGAATATATATGCATTATATTTTTCCATGCATTAATTGTAACATTAGGATCAATTTAGTACGTACGCACAGTACTTATTTCTTTCACTTTGTTTTCAAAATTGGTAAAAAAAAAGCCAGATTTTTGTGGAACAAGCAGTCACTATTAAGATATGATGCGTTTAAGGAAATTATGTAATCGGAAGCTCTCAATAACTTTTTATTATATCGGAGTTAGAGTTCCGATTCGGATTAAAAAACTGTTTGATCCGGGATTGAACCGAAACCGACTGAATCCGAAATTCCGGTTTGAATCCGGAGCCAATCCGAAGTATTTAATTGCTAAATATTTTAACATAGTCGATTTGGAATTTATATATTAGTGCAATGTGAGAGAAAAAGCTGGATCCAATCTCAAAATTAGACTTAATCCGGGCAGTCCGAAACTTTGGCCAAACCGATTTTACGGTTCGGATTGGATGATAATCCGAATCCGTCGGATCCGGATTATTCGGAAAGTTAATTCCAATTTTCCAATTTCCATTACATCTCGATCTTGATTGCATTATTTAGCTCAATTCGGCCATTCAAGGTGGTTTCACATTCTCAAAAAGGAGAAATCATAATGGTAAAAGCACAAACATGTGACACAAAGGAAACTAAAATGCTGTTTAGCATTAGGCGTCCATAATTTACGTTAAACCGGTATTGTTATGGAAATCTTAAAGATAATACAAAAATAATACCAGATGGTATAATCTATTTCTATACAATACAGTACTAGTTTAACGTAAATTATGGACGCCGCCTTAGAGATAATTTTTAGGCTGAATTTTTGTTTTGTGGATAATCAAAATAAATGTCATGCGCAAATTTGTCTTTTTACACTTTTTAGTGTCTCGAACTATTATTCATTTTCCGTATATGTTCGTATATATATACATATATTGTATATATATATATTACATGTTTATGCTTATATAAGCTTATATACTTATTTTTTTGACAAGATCTGTAGACTATGGATTAAAGCTTGCATTATTTGCTTTACGTGTGTATGATCCTCTGTACATATTGCACATACATGACCCATTCTTTATTTACAAAATTCCTGCTTAGAGTTATTTTTATGATCAAACATCACGTCAGGTCATCCCACCATATTATTTTTCCACAGATTTTTTCTGTTTTTGAGAGCATCATTTGGAGAAAACCGAAAAAGCCAGAATTTAGGATATTAATAGTTCAACAAGAAAAAGAATGAATATTACACAATATGATGTTTTCAGTTTTCATGTTTTACTACCATGGTGTTTATGGTGTTTTTCTAATGTAATCGGAGGTTCGTTGGTTTATTAAGCAATGAAGTTCGGTACTACTATTTTCTTGAAAAACTTAATAGTGCTACAAATAAAATCTTTAAAATTATGGATAAAGATTTTAGTTTTTAATTCGTAAAAACAAACCATTTATTATTGTTGTTTTAAATATATAATAAAGCTTTCAATTCAATTTTTTGTCCTGCAAAAATTCTGCACAAATTCAATTTCTTGTTCTGCACACTGCACAAATCCAACAAATTCAATCCTTGCCTTGCACATACTCTGCATAAATTCAATTCCTTGTTCTGCACACACTCTGCACATTCAATTTCTTGTTCTACACACATTCTGCACAAATTCAAATTCTTGTTATGTCAAATGGACACATTATCGCAAACATCCGAAGCTATTTTAACCAAATTTCAATACCCACTCCCACAATACGTTTTGGGCTGTTTGCCAGCCCTCGCAGTAATTGGAGAAATTCCTACGAGAGGTCTGTGGCCGAAGATCCAATGGATATTTCGATGTCTGGGGTGCCCCTTTACTGGCTTGTTTTACATGCTCTGCGTAGCAAATGATAAAACAGCCATGTGTACATGGTGATTTTTAATTTATAACAATTTAATTTTATATAATATATCAAAAAATTAAAAATTTGGTAATTAATAAAATTTTAGGCTGTTAGATAAAGAATACTTTGCTCGGGGCACGCATTCTATCCCTTTTCGACCAGTCGGAGTACATTCTATGAAATTCGAACCTACCGAATCACAGTCAAAAGCCTTTTCTGAGGCTGTCGCAGAGACATCCGTGCTAGAGAGGTTATCGTCTCTGATCTCAGCCTACTATATACTGGTAGGTTGGGCCATGGCGATACTTAAGATCGTTGTAACCCAAAAATGTAACGACTGGCCCTATATACCTATTTCACTGACATGGACACTGCCAGTGATATATAAACGAGCCGTTTACGGAAGGCTCGTATTTAAGGATGTAACTGTCGAGTTAAATAAATTAGGTCAAAATGACAAAGATGAAATGATTATACAAGTTTCACCTCTCGAACCTCATGATCTAACAAAAAAACGTGTACTTGTTGCCATTGCAGCCTTCATATCAATAGTGGTCCCTTGGGGTGCAGTACTTACGGCATACTTTACCCCACCGCTGGGATTTTTCTGCCGCTCAAGATTTATATCGTGCTATTGCACGATATGGACTTTTAATGGGATTATATCCCTAATTCTCCATTTGCGGGGAGAAGTGAGCCTAAGAGGTAATCGGTTTGTCCATGCCTGGTTTTGCATTTGTGGTGGTATAGTGGCAATGTTTTTTGGATGCTTTTGCCTCCTTAGTGATGACAGAAATTGGTGGGTACAACTATTCGGAGAAGGTTGTGATACTTCGGCTGGGTGCAATGGTTCCTAATTTTGTATATAGTTATACCTTAATGTAGTATATATTATATTGTTTATAATCTGTTATATTTTTTTATTGATTTATATCACTAAGTTATTACATCTATTTGATAAATTCAATGTATATTTTAATCTTTTTGTCGACATATCCTTGATTTTCATATATTATCTTATCATACCTTCTGTTCAATCTGAGCTGAACTCTTAGATCTATTTGTGCATGTGTTCCCAAAATTCTTTATTGAATTCGAAATTTATATTTATAAGATTTTTAAGTTAAATCGGCTTTTGATTCCATAATTTTTATGTATGTATTACTATGTAAATTAAATTATGTATTATACTAAAAATACATGTGGTGAACCTTATGTTCATCACTCAGGCAATTAAATCTTATATTATTTGTTTATGTTCATGTTATTTTTTTAATTCGTCCCGTCTTTTCTCATGATAATAATAGAGATGCAGTAGAAAGATGTAATTGTTTTTTGTTTTTATAATTTTATTAAACATACTCCTAGACAATTCTAAAATTCAGGAATATGATACTTAATTAAGGTTATATAACAGTTATATTTCTATAAAAAAATCTGGTCAATTTAATTATTTGCTTGAATGATTCGATTGATCTGCTTTAGTCTATTTAGTAATCTATATGAGGTGTTATTTATACAGGCTAACACAGAGGTCGAAGCCGGTGCTGCACAATCATTCGCCTAGCCGACATCACATAGGGTTATTATTAGGGATGGGTTCGGTCGGCTAGTAGTCGGCTAGCCGATCGGCTATAGCCGTAGTCGATGTAGTCGACTATATCAGCTTAGCTGACCGGCTAACCGATCCCAAGTTTTTTATTTCCTGGCTGATAAATCATAATTATTGCTCAATTCAGCACGAAGTGTACAAATTATATAGAATTATTGCAAAAAATACCCTAGCTATCACGTCACAGCCGATTCTCGATTTTGATTGACTAAGAGCGACGATTAAAAATCTATGCTGAAATAACTCAAAATTTTACTAATGAAATCACAGTTGCCTATTAAGTGAAAATGTTCCTGGACTAATTTTACCATAGTATAGGCTTATTTCTAGAGATGGGTTTCGTGCGTGCGCATGATTCCTCAATCGTGCGCATTAATGCGCATTCATGCGCATGATTCGGAATCATGCGCATTTTATCC